TGTATGACAGGGTGTTGAAGCAGCTCTCACATATAGCTCCTATGTGATAACAAGTCCAGATGTCAAGTGGAGAACAGAGGTTAAACACAGTCTGTAGATTTACTGAATGCTTGGCTAATGAACTGAAACGTACGTTGCGACCTTAAGCATTAAGAACGAGGATGTAAAGATTTCAGGTCCACATATAACTGGTATAAAGGCAAAAGCAATTCCAGAAAGTGAATGGCACTCAGGAAAAATGTTCATGTAGAGACTGCAGATCCTTCACAATTGTCACTTCCAGTTAGCTGTTTTTGATGGCCACTGACATATGCAGCTAAAGGCCACGGAACCATTTAGCCTTAACAATATGTCCTTTACAGGACTCGCCAGGCAATCACCTGGAAATGTATCACTTGGCTCAGTGCCTGTGTCTGTAACAGTGTAATGACAGGTGCAGTACAGGTTTGGCATCAAATCAATTGAGTCTCATTCTTAAGTGCTGTGCTCAGCACCAACACAGCCCCCGCCTCAATAACTCAGCCATGTTTAGGATGACTCAAACCTTCACCGACTTACAGGCAGGTTCAACAGTCATTTGATTAGAACTAAGAGAGCCAAAAGGATTGTGAAAGGTCTGTACATCAGTGGGAATGCATTAGATCTAATGAGTGTCCGTCTGGCTCCAATAACATGAAGCCCATTCACAAAGTTAATGTTACTCTTCTAGATTAAAAATAAAATGGGCCAAAAGGCAGCTGTAGTAGTGTACGGTAGTGGTTATAGAAGTTGACGTAAGTAACATACTATATAATTAAATTCCTGAAAAAGTCTTCAAAAATAAAAGTTTTTAAAAAATGAATAAAAGTCCCCTCATTTGCTTTAAAATAAGTAGCTATGTCCTAAGGCAGTTCAAGAAATCTCTGCTAGTCATCTGCCGCTGGAATATAAAGTTTTACTTTTTGGACTCATACCTGAAGGAAGGCCAAAGACAAATATTTGTTTGATATTCTGTTAGTGGCAGGCAAAAAGACACTCACAATAAGATGGCTTTCACAGGAGAGCCCAACATTGAACATGTCAATGGACACCACAGTGGAGATATAATGGATGGAGAGTCTAACTACAAAAATGATTTGTTCGTTTTACGTTGAAAGAAGTGGAAAAAATACATAAAACCACGAAGGCCAGATTTTGTCTCTCTTAACTCTAGATAGCATACAGTATGTAGCAATAACCTAACCTTACCCCATGTGTGTTTTTTTTTTTTTTTACTTAAAAAAGGAGTACGTTCATGCTGATGATGTATGCCTAATGATTAAAATGAATATACTGTATCCCTTCTCCCTTCTCTGGTCCCTCTCAACTTTGACATCATCCACTCCTCTCTTACCACTGGGACTGTTCCTACCTCTTTCAAAACTGCTGAAATAACTCCAAATATGAAAAAAACTTGGCACTGACCCCATTAACTTCAATAACTTTTAGATAACATTTTATATCATTTTCCTGCATGTTTCTCATAAAATTAGAGCATTTAGAGAACATTTTTTGAATTTCTTTTTATTTGAATTAACTTTTTAGTCATAATGTAAACTTTTCATCTAATTTTTGGTCAAAAACTAAAAGTAAATTAATAAACATAATTTAAATTAATTTTTTAAAATGTTATCTTTTCCTGCATGTTTCTCATAAAATTAGGACATTTAGAGAACACTTTTTGAAAAAGATTTTTTATAAAATTTTCTTTCAAATTGTAAACTTCATGTCATTTTAAGGCATTTCTGGGACTT